AGACCACGACCCCGGTCTCACCTTCTCACCGCGGAGTATGAAGTTCTCTTCTTCACATTGTACTTCATGTTGTCTCGACCACGGTCTCCCTGAGACAGTATACGGCGACGGCAAGACTCCATCACTTTCAGAATCTCGGCAAACCACGCCCGTGGGCGAGATCTGCATTATCACCGCCAAGGCCGCCTACCTCATGGCTGCGCACAACCCAGACGAAGCCATCTGGGTCGAACCACAAGACTGGGAGAAGCTTGCTGACCCTCCAGACGACAATAACGATTGCGATTTAGACTCCTTCAAACGCAACATCGCCCGCCTCGCCGCCGTCACACAAGAGGACTACGACCACTATATGAACAAGATGGAGAGTCCACATATGACGGAAGCGGAGATCCGCAAACTGGTGCCAGACTGGTTGTACAGCAAGATGCCAGACTTGTTCAGTCCTATACAAGCAGGGAAGTTGGCACCTCATCGCGAAGGCGTTGACCATGAGATTGACACCGACGGACGCATTCACAAGCCTAAGATCTATGGGCTCACACGAACGGAGACCAGGGCCATCAAGGCCTACATCGACGACATGCTCGGACGCGGATTCATCCGACCGTCCACATCTCCGTACGCGTCACCTGTCTTAGTTGTCAAGAAACCAGGTGGCGGACTTCGCATCTGCGTTGACTACCGTCAGCTCAACGCCATCACCAAGAAGAACCGCAACGCTCCACCCTCCATCAAGGAAACGCTGGCCCGCATGGCCAAGGTACGATGGATGACGATTGTCGACGTTGTGGCTGCATTCAACACTGTTCGGATCAAAGAAGGCGATGAAGAAAAGACAGCCTTTCTCACTCGGTATGGGCTATACGAATACGTTGTCATGCCCTTCGGCCTCTGCAATGCGCCTGGCACTTTCCAGACCTTTATCAATGAGACACTCCGCGAGTACCTTGACGATATCTGTACAGCTTACCTCGACGACGTCCTTATATACACCTGCGACGATGACGAGTCAGTTCATGAAGCCGACGTCATCAAGGTCCTCTCTAAGATACGCGACGCTGGCTTCCATCTTGATCCCACGAAGTGCAAATTCAAGGTCAAGAAAGTGAAGTACCTAGGCCTCATCCTCACTACAGAGGGCATCGAAATGGATCCAAAAAAGGTCTCCACTATACTAGACTGGCAAATACCGCGCTCAGTCAAAGACGTCCAGTCTTTCCTTGGTTTCGCCAACTTCTACCGTCGCTTCATCAAAGGCTTCTCCTACATCGCAAAAGCCTTGACAGAACTCACGCGCAAGGATGGCGAAGGCAAGGACCAGAGACATCAGTTCCCGCTCATCGCTGATAGCAAAGCTATACAAGCTTTCCATCGACTTAAGGACGCCTTTAAGACTGCAGGAGTCCTTGCACACTTCGATCCTGACCTAGAGACTTGGTTGGAAACCGATGCCTCAGATTTCGTTACTGCAGCTATCCTCTCTCAGAAGGACGCGACAGGAGTCCTCCGCCCAGTTGCTTTCCTATCGCACAAGATGAACCCTGCGGAATGCAATTATGAGATATACGACAAGGAACTCCTAGCTATTGTCAACGCCTTTGAGCAATGGCGCTTTGAGCTGTCTGGTACTGATGATCCTATTATGGTGTTGTCTGACCATCAAGCCCTTCAGACCTTTATGACCACAAAGCGCCTCAACAGACGCCAAGCCCGTTGGGCGGAATTCATGGCAGAGTTCAACTTCATTATCAAGTACAGGCCAGGCAAGCAGGGCACGAAGCCAGACGCTTTGACAAGGCGTCCTGGCGACCTACCCGAGTCACCCGACGACATCCGCCGTCGGCATCAACTCCAGGTAGTCATCAAGCCTGACCAAGTCGATCCTGAAGCGCGCGTCTGCACCATCAACATCGCCAAGGATGGAGGTTCTCGCCATGCAGTCTACCTCGCAAATCTCATCACACAGCGCACCCTTCCTGACTCTATCCCCGCAGTCGCGCAAATGCTGTATCAACTTAGCGAGGAAGACAACATCTCTGAACGGTACGCCGTCCTCGCCGCACTGCCTGGCATCGAGCCTGAGGGGGGAGAAAACGGCGTCTCCCATGACCTCACGAGCAAAAGATCGCTCTGTGCAGCCGATAACGTTACAATCTCGCCTATTACAACGCCAATCGCCGCAACTAGTGCGCCCGCGATACCAAACGAGACGCCCGCCGCAATTAATGTGCCCGCGCCACCGAACAACGAGCTGACTATTGATGCTCTGCTTGACAATATCAAGGCAGCATACAAGGATGATAAGGTGTTGCAGGCGATCGTCAAAGCCAAGAAGGACGGCCTACGACGCCTGCCGTTCAAACTCATACATGGAGAAGAGCACCTCAGGCTGGAACTTGGCGATTGCGAGATCACCGACGAACTACTCTATGTGCGCAACAAGGTCTACGTCCCCGCCGGCGCCGTTCGCACCCAAGTTATTGAACAAGCCCACAAGAGCGTCTGCGGTGGCCACAGCGGCAAACATGAGTTATACTCCAAGCTGTCGCGATGGTATTACTGGCCTAGGATGACCACGGACGTCGCGCAATATGTACGCGCGTGTCTGACTTGCAAGAGGAGCAAAGCATACCGAGAAGGCAAGCATGGGCTGCTGCATCCGCTACCAATCCCCAGCAAATACTGGTCCAGCATCTCTATAGACTTCATCACTCACCTGCCGCCCTGCAGGCATAACGGTCAAACGTTCACTGACATCCTCGTGGTAGTCGACCGACTCACCAAGAAGAAGAAGTTCATCCCAATGGCTAGTATGACCACCGACGCCCTTGTGGTAGCCTTTATCGAATACATCTGGCGAGAAGAGGGCTTTCCTGAGGAGATTATCTCAGACCGTGGAGCGCAGTTTGTCTCTTACTTTTGGAAGCGACTATGCCAGCGTCTGGGTGTACGCCCGAAGTTCTCGACCGCTCACCATCCCCAGACTGACGGACAAACCGAGAACGCGAACTCCTACCTCAAGCAATACCTACGCGCCTATGTCAACTACGAGCAGGATAACTGGGCGCTTTTTCTGCCAATAGCTGAATTCGAAGCCAACTCCAGCACCAGCAGCACAACTGGCAAGTCGCCTTTCTTCGCGACTAAAGGATACAACCCACGGAGTGGCATTGAACCCCCTGCGCCAGCGCCAGGCGCTGCGACCTTGACTGCGCCTGCGCAACAAGAACGTCTCAACGCTGACGCTTTCGCGGATCGCATGAAAACGCTGCAGGACGAGCTGCGAGCTTCAATGCAATGGGCGCAAGCAAAACAAGCAGAATACGCCAATGAAGGAAGGCTACCCGCACCAGCTTTCAAAGTCGGCGACCAAGTGATGCTGGACACTCGCAACCTACGGACGAAAAGACCCTCCGCGTCATTAGACCTAAAGAACCGCGGTCCCTTTACTATCGTTCGCGCCATCAACAACACCGCATACGAGCTAGATCTTCCCGCTAACATGAAGCGCATCCACAATGTCTTCCACCCATGGCTCTTACACTTGGTTGACGACAACCCACTTACTGGACAAACACAAGATCCTGAGGTCCCTGCGGAGTTCGACCCAGAAGTGGAAGACGACACTGAATACACTGTCGAAGCAATCGAAGACTGCCGCATTAATAAGAAGCTTAAGGATCCTGCCGCCCGCGGTCGCAAGGGCAAGACTACCCAAGGCCTGCTCCAATACTTGGTACGATGGGCAAACTATCCCGACGGCCCCGACAATCCTTCATGGGAACCATACATGAACCTCGCGGACTCCGCTGACACTGTGACGCGCTATCACCTTGATCACCCAAACAAGCCGCCTATGCACAGGAAGTTTAAGTCTCTCACAGGCAAACAAGATATGCTGGTTATGCGACTTCACGCTCTTAGTCGTGTCTAGCCAGTGGTGACAACAGCAGACAAGACCAACAATAAGACTGGGATAATATAGTTGTGCTTGCTATAATCGAGGGCGTCGATAAGTTGTGCTAGAAATAGGACTTATAGACGCTGTGCTCGTGGCAAGGACTAGACTGTCAAAGTTACTATTGTTAAGACAAGATGCTAAGGTCACCACGCCACGATGATGATCCATAATTACTGTGCACAGACAACGGGAATAGAATGTAGTAATGGAATGGACACTGCAAGCGACACGCTTGGTATGCAGCAGTTTTGCGATATAGGTATCTCCTTTGTATACAATTTTAGGCAAAAAAAAAAAAAAAAAAAAAAAAAGGCAGTTCGAGCGTTGGAACTTGCTCTCTTTTTGGGGGGGGTAGTGTCATGGATCAAACCCGCGACCTCTAGTAAGCGAGGTGGCCCGTGCGCCTTAAGCGAAGGCCACAGCCGAACACCAAAGTTCGACCCGCGCAGGTCTTCGAACCTGCACGCAATATCTCACTTAGTACTTAATACAGATACGGTCATCTCAACTATTGACGTCCCTCACACGATGTAAGCGCCACGTGCGCGTTGTTAAATGTACGTCTTCTTGTTAGTTGCAATCTCTAGTTTCTTACCTTGTTTCTTTTAGCGTAGTGCAATTACGCCGACTGTTATAAGACTAACGACGCACCCGTTAAAGTTAATAGAGTTATTAGTACTGTACAACACGCACAATCGTACGTTCATTGTTCATGATATTATCGTCAATAGCAACTCTAGATTCACTCTCACCTTTTTAGGTAAGGTCCAGCTGGTGTTAGGTGTACCTATGTAGTTCTTGCACATAAATCAAAGTTCAAACTCCTCGTTAGTACTTCTTCTCTAACTAGATATAATAGCTTCACATGCATCGTAGCGCATACCAACAAATAGAAGAAGGATGCGTAAGTTTGTCCATTAAACTTCCAGTTCTAAGGGATGCTAGACCTTTATAACATAAATCTAGAAGCTGACTCTCCTAATAAATCCTTTCGGACTTCGTATCCTACCCTTGTACCCTCTTCAATAGCCCCATCAACAAACCCCCGCCATCCCAACGCCCAATCCGAATTTTCAAACAGAATATTTCCATGACGTTTACACATGTCACCTAGGTGCTTCACCACCAACCCAGGCGGCGAGAAGAACCAAGCCCCCTTCGCAAACTTGTCCTGGCTCCAGTCATGGAACACTATTCTTTCGATAGTGATTTCATCTGCGTCGTATTGTATAGGATTGAAGAGACTAGATACAGCGCGCTTTGTGACGTCAATGTCGGCCTCGAGATCCATGTGATTGTGCTGACCGCCGAAGCATACGATATGTGTGTTTCCAGCTGGTGTTGTGCCGTTACCAATGGCGCAGTTCAGCTTGTTGTCTGGATAGTTCACGCTTGTCCATGATCGAAGTTCGGGGTTCGCGATTTCCGCGTGTACTTTGGTTGTTTGGTTCACATGGCCTAGAGCTATTGCTGCTTGCTTGCCAGCCGACAGTGGGGAATCGAATGTAATGCTGCTCAAGACGTTGAGAGGTACAGTAGATATGGTACGAAGAGCACGGTAGGTCCGACCTTTGCGAGTGGTAACTTTGACGCTGGACCCGGTGTCGTGAATATTTTTGATAGGCGTGTTGAACGCATATGATAATCGTCTTGTGGCGAGGGCTTCTTCAAAGAACCTTTGTGCAAATGCTGATTGCCCGTCTCGAAACTTCCACGTAATCAACCTTTCCATCCAGCCTGCATATGTGTACCCGCACATGGCCCACCAGTGCATGAACTCGTGGAAACTTGTGGTTTCCAGTGTTCCACCACTGGCGAGGAGTATGGAAGCCTCGAGGACAGTGCGCTCCTGAGGAGTCAGAGTATTAGCAATTTCCTTGATGCGATCTTGTGCTGATATCAAGTCGAGCGAGCTGGATTCTGGGTTTTTGAATGTAGAACATGGGAGGGGAATTACTTTGCGACCGTAAACGCCATCTATGTTAGTAAACTTCTCCAATGCCGATGCGACGAGCTCGTCCTAAGTCAGTGTATTAGCGACCGGATGCTGACCAGAATCTGCATCACTAACCTCCTCTTTATGGCTCATGGTGATGGACTCATGCGTTGAGCGGAGTTCGAAATGGTTTACGCCTTTCGAAAAATCAAAACTCTTCTCCAAGTCCTGCTGCATCTGATAGCGCAGTGCTTCGCGCCAGACATTAGCTTGTGCCCAATGGATCCATGTACCGCCCATCTCGAAAGGATAGCCGTCAATGTTAGATCACCATGAACGTCCACCAATGCGATCACGGCCTTCAAGTAACAAGACATTCAGACCTTCGGCAGCCATGTTACGGGCTGCAGTCAAGCCAAAGTATCCTGCACCGATCACTACAACATCGTAGACGACATCCAGGCTGCTGATGTTGGAGGAAGGAGAGATCACTCCAACGGACGGCACACCAGCTTTGAGGCCCTCCTTTGGTGTCCAGCAGTATCCATCGCAAGAAGTCATATCGGAGATTACGAAGACAATCTGAGGGGCAGAAACGCGGTATCGCTAGATTGGGAGCGAAGTAGAGGCGCGAAGAGAGGACGCGGTGCTGATATCTAGGGGTATATGTGTGGGAACTTCTGCTCCAACTTATACTCAACTTGTATGAATTGTTTGGTGGCTTCCATGTCTTTAAAATTGACATTGAAGATTATTGGACATACCCCTACCTAGTAAGATGTTACTAGATGGGGCAGCTACAGTGAGAATTATAATCCGAAAGGTGCCGTATGCCTACGCTAAAGATGCGTGTCGCATCATAACTTCATGCCGTGCCTCGATATACACACGTCAGAGGTAGACCTGTACTATTTCCAAATCCGGTTGCTAATGTGAGAAAGTCACTAAGACCATATGGAGAGTGCGTCTCCGGATTTGCAGTAGCAGTGAGTGTCCCATGGTCTTCCGTCTTGTCCGACTGACCAAATCTTGTGTCAACGCGGAATGCAGGCGCGGTCGCGGAACTTTGGCAGCTACTCAGGCCAGTAAGAACCCCAGCTTCCTTGCCTTATGCTAGCGTAAAATACATTTGTGGGGTAAAATGAGTACCGCCGAAGGGGCATCTTCTCACTTTAGCAACCCAATGGGGAATGTGCTGCGATCGTTATCAGATCGCAGAAATGCGGGGATCTTGACACGATAAGACCTGATTGGAACAAACTCCGACATGATGACTCGGCATACCAAGTCTTGCTAATGGCTTGTTATCGATATTTTCCCAGTTGCTTGAAAAGCAATTGACATATGCGCTGTGAAGAGACAACCTTGATTACCCATTTCAAGTTCTCCCAACATTCTTTAGACAACCACATTTGGAGAGTGAAAAGATTCATGTGCGCAGCCAAAATGGTCGATGTGAGCGAGAAGAAGCTCCCCACAGAGCTAGAGCGTCGTATGTCTCACAAATTACCCATAATACACCAAGTTCTGACATGATGCTGTTACAGAAACAAGCACACACGAAGGACAAGTCCAAGATTTTTCGTACCAGCTCGTCGGTCTCTCTATTCAACCCGAGGATGCACGGGACATGTCCGCCATGGAGATCATCTCTGCTGGATGGTGTATATGTAACAGCTGGGCTGGTATTGCCGCCACCTTTGCCCTCGCCATCGCTCAAGGTGGTCCCACTACCTTGGTCTACGGTCCGATTGTCATACTAGTGTTGGTTGGATCCTGTGCACTGACGTTGTCGGAACTTGCAAGTGTTTATCCTACAGCTGGTGGACAGTATCATTGGACTAGCATTTTGGCGCCCAAGAGTTGGAGTAGGGGGTTGGTGAGTCTTGTTGGTTTTGTAGCCGTGGATGTCTCGCTGACTCTTATACAGAGTTATTGTTGTGGCGCCACCAACGTGTTTGCTTGGATTTCTCTCGCTGCCGGGGTTGCCATTATCGTTCCTCAACAAATTCTCGCTATGGCGGTCTTCTGGAACCCATCATATGTGCCAAAAGCTTGGCATACGTTCTTGTTATATCAAGCCGCAAACTTGATGACCCTGATATACAACATCTACGTCTTAAAGCGGACGATGTGGATCCATGATGTAGGCTGTACGTGTTTGATCTAGTCCGCAATCCGTTCCTCGCTGACTATACAGTTTTCCTGTCTCTTTCTGGTTTCGTAGCACTGTTCATCACCAGTCTCTCTCGTAGCAGCTCGCACTTCCAGCCCTCGGAGATGGTGTGGCATACATTCCTGAACAACAGTGGATGGACCGATGGCATCGCATTTTTGACTGGTCTTGTTAATCCGAACTACATGTACGCGGGTATAGACGGGGCGATACATTTGGCAGAAGAGTGCAAGAACGCCGCGGTGGTGGTACCTCGCGCACTCATGAGTACGATAACTATCGGCTTTGTGACGTCACTCATCTTCGCCATTTCCATGATGTACTGTATCAAGGATTTACAGGCTGTTCTTTCAAGTACTACAGGGTAGGACCCAGACGTCTTTCCAATATGGAGTTTGCTAATTCTCGTAGTGTGCCAATATTTGAAATTTGGCGACAGAGTACCAGGTCCGATGCGGCTGCCACGGTCTTTCTTACAATATTGGGGATGATGGCTCTCTTCGCACTCAATGGATGTCACCAAACTGCCTCTCGTCTGACATGGTCCTTCGGCCGGGACGATGCGATTTTCGGTAGCCGTTGGCTCAACAAGATTAGCTCGAAGCAAGAGGTGCCCATCGCCGCCCTGATCTTTAACTTTTGCATCATGGCTCTCATCGGATGCATTTACCTAGCCTCAACATCGGCCTTCAACGCGTTCATCGGTACAGGTTTGATATTGCAGCATATCACATACGCGTTTCCGGCTTCATTGTTGATGTATCGAAGAAGGTCTACAATGTGGTTGCCAAAAAGTAGATCTTTCAGGCTCCCATCAGCCTTGGGCTGGGCTGTCAACATCGTTACAGTGCTGTTTGCCGTCTTCGTACTTGTTTTCTACTGCTTCCCAGTCGCGATACCCGTCACGGGAAGCAACATGAGTAAGTTGCCTATACCTCATTATTCTCCTTGTCGATCTAATACCGAACAGATTATTCAAGTGTTGTGATTGGAGTGATGGGGATTTTTGGAGCCTTGAATTGGTTTTTCTATACAAAGAAGCATTATCGAGGACCCCGCCTGGCGTTGTAGATCTCTGAATAGCCCCAATCTTTTTTTGTAGCCATAAGAGTCTTGTCAGGCGTAAATCACATCACCAACACGCTGGAATGCTCTGGTAAGCATAGGGTCCATCGCTCATCACCTTTGCTCGCCCACAAATTTTGCAAACTTTGTACAGCGACCAGGATATTGCGAAATCCCGTACGAGCGTAGATGTGATACATGTAATCGACGAAGAAGTTCCGTTGGTGATGATCTGTCGCTTCGGCGCCGCCGAGAAAACATGGCCATACAAGACAGTGCGCGCCTGGCATATCTGGCGGTATTTGCGAGAGTAACTCCATCAGATGGTGGGTGGTTGTATATCTGTTGAGTTCACTTTGGTGGAGCGTTGAGATCGGCCACTCTTTGTTCCCGCTCGTAGCACGTTGAATGTAGATGTCGCAGGCAGCGGAATAGCATTGCCGGATCTTGAGGATGATGCGACGGTTATCCGCGCCCTCGGGAAACTGCTCGTACATTTGCCAGTCTTGCCATCGGGACAATCCTTGCAAAGTAGCAATGCCGTTGGATTCACTCAGTAGCGGGATACCAAGCATCTCAAACCTAGGAAAAGGTCAACTAAGGGTATGTTACGCCATACATCGCTGTAGCCTACATGTTTGTTTGAGTCTGAAGGAACCGGTTGACAGGCAATTCCTGGCTTTTGACCGTACTATTTGCCGACAAGCATAGCAACATCTGAATCAGAAAACTGTAGTCAGCGCTACCAGTGACTGTCTCTCCGACGAGCAGCACAATCAAAGTTGCCCAAGTGAATTGGTTAAAAACCCGGTCCGCAGTGGCAGACAATGAGTCTCTGCGTAGACGCGAGATGATTGCGGTCCGACCAGCTTCGGCGACCTCCTGCAATTCAAGCCTCTCGCGGCTGAGATGCTGCGCTGCCACAACAGCCACAGCGCGACACAACACCTCGTCTTCAAGCGCCATGGGTAGGAGGATGTCGCGATAACCATTTGAACTCGTGTCAAGTATGACCATGGCTGGTGCGATAACATCTGAGAAATAAGAAAATAACTCACGTGTTTTCGGGCTCAGTGGTGCGATCCAGGGCTGTAATTTATTGTAGCCCGAGTACCATGACGAAAAAATTGTTTGGTCTCGTACAATCTCTTCAATGCCCTCCTCGACATGCGTTTCAATGTTTTGCTTTTCTGGAGCCTGCGGAGAACCCGGGCCGTCGAAATGCGTGTTTGTAGAGGCAGCAGCCATCGGGATGGGGGAAAGGCTTATATTTCTCCCTCCATCGATTGCAATAGTTTTACTGGCAGACGCACGCTTCCTGTGCTGCCTCTGTAGATCTCGTTTCGGGTTTGCATGTTTCTTGTTCTCGTCTTGCCACCTTACCATGAGAAATGGCGTGGTGATTGGTAGACAGTCTACTCCATCGGAACTGATATCTGGCACCTTGAGGTCTTTAAACTTGCCTCTTCTTGCGACTCCTTCAGCGAATCGTATGCGGTTGATCCCAGAGCACTCGATTCCTCTCTTCATGCACTTCCCGCACGATGGCTCAGTCTTGTCGCAATTTATGCGCCGCCGTGAGCACTGAAAACATCCTAGGGAACATCAGCTTTCGCTATTGTGAGTGATGAAGCAAGTTGAATGCTAGTAAAGGGTTATCTACCTCGGTCTTTTGGCGTTGACTTCTCGCCGATTCTTGTTGGTGAAGCACCCAGGATCTCGCGTTGAGGTGACATGATAATCAGTCCGATCGAGATTCACCATCATGTTGGTGCTGATGCATGATCTATGAGCTCTGCAATCCCTTTACCTTCTTGATCGTAGTCAGAGGGGTGGTGGAGGCGCACTGATAAGTGTCGACGGTCAGAAGCCGATGCCGGGAGTAGAGTCCCCACCCGGGCTGCGCACGTTTCCGGGCCGCGCACGCCGAACGCCAGAACACCAGACCACCCACAAACTTCAACACGTCGCAACTCCACCAATATGACCGCTATTGAGAAAGCGATTAAATATTTGGAATCGCTAAAGCCAGGAGAACACTTTGTATACCAGAAAGTTGCCGACCAGTTTGGTTGTAGTCGCAGTGCGCTGTCCCGAAGATGGCGCGGCGTCTCACGCGACAAAACCACCAGTGATGAGATGAAGCAAGCTCTGCTACCACAACAAGAGCTAGAGCTTGTACAGTATATAGAGGAGCTCCATATACGAGGACTACCTCCTACGAGAGAGATGATCCAGAACTTTGGCTCAGAAATCTGTGGTAACCCAGTCTCAATGAGCTGGGTTGAGCGCTTCCTCCATCGAAACCAGGACCGTCTCATCTCTCGCTGGGCGCCCACCCTCGACCGCGTACGTCACCAGGCTGATTCTATTAATAAATACAACTTATATTTTGATATACTGCATCAGAAAATAGAGGAGCATAAGATAGAGAGGCGTCTTACCTTTAATATAGATAAAAAGGGCTTCTTAATTAGTGTACAGAACAAGTCAAAGAGAGTGTTTAGTAAGCCAGTTTAGGTGCAAGATGGGGCAAGAGCAGCTATCTAAGACGGCAACAGAGACTAGATTACGATTATCCCAACGATCTATGCAGATAGGACGACGCTGCCAACGTCCATTATTATAGGCAGTGAGGCGTACGATCTATACAACAATTAGGTTGAAGACATACCCCCAGAGGACACCTAGATTAACGTTAGCTCAAGTCCTACTAGCTAGAGCAACGAGAAGCTTGGTCTAGCATAGCTGAAGCGGTTTAATTAATTCACTAAGGAGAAAGCTCGTTAGTCTTGGCGGCTACTCATCTGTAACGGCTATAGGAGCTATCTTACTAAGCAGTTTTTGGACTACGCGATCGAGAATCGGATCATAGTGATAGTGTTTCCATCTCATTCTACCTATACTCTTCAGCCTCTTGATATAGGTGTGTTTGGGCCACTCTTACACTACTATTCGTCTTAACTCTCTTAGCAACAACAACGCTCCTAGGGGCTTCTCCTAGTAGTGAAAGCTAATTTCTATAGCTTGTTTAAGCCAGCGTATGCCTCCTCCTTCACTAAAGCTAATATCGTTGCTGCTTTTAAAGCCACTAGTATATAGCCGATAGATCAGACAGTAGTCACTAAGAGGTTTGATTACACTACACCACCACTGCAGACCGACAATATAAGCCTATCTCACCTCTCTCCCGCTAATTGGTGGCGTACAGAACGTCTAGTAGAGCGTGCTATTAAGGGAAACAACGATTAAGTAGTTACAAAGCTTGTAGGAGCAATTCACCGCGCTAGTACTCAACACAAGCTTCTACAGTATAAGAATAAGGGGCTACTTACATCACTTAACACCAAAAATAAGCGTACAAAGCGTGGCCGACGCCTGCCACTCAAAGGGGACCAAAAGCGGCCTACTAATGCTATCTTCTACTCTCCTCGAAAGCTCCAAGAAGCTCGGGACGAAAGAGCCAGAAAAGACGCCAAAATACTAGCAGATTAAGCTCGAAAAGCTGATGCTAAACAGCTCCGAGAGGCTAAGAAACTCTTAAGTGAAAAGAGTAAACAAGAGGCTCAAGAGAAGAGAGAGAGAGACAAGATGGAGAAGGAGAAGGAGAACGCTGACAAAGCAGCTCGAAGAGAGCAGCAGAAACAGCAGGAAAACAGCGACAAAGCTATCTAACCTTCCCAAAAAGGTAAGCGCAAAGCTTCAAGACCTCTACCTAAGCAGAAGAAGCGGCAGAAACGAGTAGATAGTAGTGTAGCTTCAGGTGTAGCCATAGAAGCTACACCAGCCCAACCAGCCCGGACGTCACGTGGTGGCCGGAACATCAAAATTCCGGCCAAATTTAGATAGTACAAAGTGTTCGCAAGGTCATTTTTAGTAAATTCCGGAGTTATTTTGTATATACAGCTATTCAGTGTGGCTTAATAACCTCATGTTTGCTGTGGTGTTGATGTTGTTCGGCGTGCGCGGCCCGGAAACGTGCGCAGCCCGGGTGGGGACTCTAGCAGCCGCACTTTGCCGACGCAGGGGTCATTGCTCGGGGCAGCTCAACCCCCAACCCATTCAGCGTAGGCAGCTATGACTGAAGCCCGGTATACAGATTCTTTACGCTCGTCTAAGATATTCGGTTGATTAGAGATATGATTTGTCATGTGTTTAGACATCTATTATACATGTAGCTAATGTCCGATGCCCACTCTGCCTACCCTTCGGTCTTTTACTTTCTAGGTTCTCATCAAATTCAATATCCCCCACCTCACTCTCACTTTCATCAAACTTCTTCCGTTTCTCCTTATCTTTCCGATGAGCCGTCTTCAAATGTTCATTCATCTTGTCCTTGCGTCCTTTAAAACTTCGTCCCTTACTTTTTCCCCCTCCCGGATTTCTTGAGCGGGGACAGCCGTTCCGAGGACAGAAGTACTCAATCGACGTCCCCAAATGAGCATTTTCGTAATGACGTTTGAAGTCAGCTAGGCGGTTGAAGGTCAAGGATTCGTGGTCGTGGCATCCTTCTTGTAAGCATTTGAACTTGCCCGAAAGAGTTACTTGGCCAATGACAGGATCAGCGGCGGCAGGTGGCGGAAGAGTCGAATCACGGACTTTAGAGGCAACGGCATCGGCTGAGGGACTCGAGGAGTTATCTGGAACGGCGCTTGTTTCCTTGCCATGTGAAGATGGGCGACTGCATTGGCTTTAGTATAAAGGGTGGACACTTCATCAGCCTCTGAGACATACGATTGTTGCTGAATTAACATGTGCTGATCAAGACATCCGACTTGAGGGCGGGGAAAGGGCGAAGGAGGACTTAGGTTTCTGGTTCATGATGGTTAGAATTTACTGTTGACAACTTGGCACCAAAATTTGGGCATGTTCCGGATGCCGTGGTGGCTGGAAATTTGGATAAAGTTGGTTTCCATTCGACTGTCGAATCAAATTAGAACTATTCGGTCGTTGGGCAGTTCTGACTCTGATCCAAGGTAGGGCAGTGTGCCGTTATCAAGGGCCAGATCTGATACCCTAAGTTTATTCAATTGTTCGGAGTCAAACCAGGTTATTGGTGGATGTGGCGTTATGCATGCTCAATTTAAGATCGATTTGTCCTCATCATTGCACAGCGCTTTGGATCCACTGAGAGTATCATCCTGAACTTATCATGGGGCGATGCTCCAGCAATCCATTTGATGTCTCATCGCGTGAATAGAGTTCTCTGGCACTGATGGCACGACTTGTATCAACATTGGACGGAATCAAAGTAAAGCAGCAAGAACAAATGGAAAATCTGTACCTTTAGGGGGCCCTGGTTGGTAAGGATTCAATCTGTTCATGTGGACTGTGGCCGCTTGGTCGCGCGTTGAGACATTTTGAACAAGACTTACTCATCATGGTATGTAGTTCCGCCCAAATCCCGAACATGGCCATCATCCCTACTATCACTCCAAGTGATGATATCATTGACGTTGAAGTGGAATGGTTCCATAGCGCTACGATTTGTATATCTGTATCCCACATTTGGCGGCAGATCCGCTGGGCGACCACTATGAAGCTCTTCGGACTCCAAATGCTGCTGCATTGCACCAGGCTGAAGCGCAGATTGTTGTGTTACCGATGCGTTCGAGTAGGTGCGTAACATATCCGAAGCTACAGAAGTTAGGTTACCACCGAAAGAACCATATGACGCTCGATGTGGGCTTTGGTAAGAGGGATAGTGACCGGAAGATGTTGATGAGAATTGTGACCTTGAGCGAGACATGCCGTTGTTCACCGGAAAGTGCGAGAAGTCGTTGTGGCTATGCCGTTGAAACTGGCCAGTGGCACAAGGCTGTAGTTCAACCTGATAGTGAGAACTTGACGATTGCGGTGTGCCCAGAGGCGAAGTATGAAACATAGAGTCTTGTCGTTGATCGGTGGCTGGCGAAAGATGATGGTAACAAAATGGGTGTTGAAAGGCATGTGCGATGGTATTCAAGTCGAGATTGAGACTGAGACTGTGGTCGGCGGAAGAGTGGCGCACAATGCCACCACTATTCAGATACGTGGAACTTTTCATTGGATTGAGATATGGTTGGAAATACCGCTAATAGCTAGTGTAAGGCAGCCGTACAGTGGCAAGTATTATGATGAACAGCGAAACCCCGAGAGTCATTAAGTTTTACGAAATGAAGCTAACATACAGTGTAGCGCTGGAAATAGGGAGTTTGCCCAATTGATTGTCTTCCTGGAGGACCTTCGCTTGGCTTGCATATTTTCAGCCTCGTGGCCACTAAGAGGCATACTGAGATATCAAGGCAAAGAAGGCAAACAGGGCTTACCGGCGGGCAATAGTTGGGACGGGTACGATTTCAATCAGAGTGAGACGCTCGGTTGCTTACTGTATCTCTGGACTGTAAGGCTGTGAAGTAGAAAACTGGGCGGACTTTCACAGGAATCCGCATTAGCGAGATGTAATATAGGCAAGGGTGAGCAATTTAGTTGTGAGGCAGTCACGTCATCACGAGCAGCTGGAATGAGTCAGGCACCAAGCTTCCGCCCCAACCCGTCATTTTGCCTCACCTTACAAGTCCTTCAAAAGTGGTTTATCCCGCGGACAAGTTTCGCGATCCGCCATCTTCAGCTAGTCAAAGATGGATCTTTTTGATATGTATCGGGACTATGCCACGTTGGTGGCGTCTCATGCTTTTACACTCCAGACCTTGATGCTTGCATCACCACCCGCCGAGATGACCTTGTTAGCCTTCTCCCAAGCGACACCGTTGACTCCATCCTTGTGTGCGTTGAGAGCCTTGATCCGCTTCCCCGGGTCCTCGATACTCCAGACCATGACATTTGTGTCTAGGCTACCACTTGCAGCGAAGTTCTCACTCTCATCCCAAGCCAGGCAAGTGATGCGTGCGGTATGGGCGCTCCACCGGTCTGTAATGACCTTCCAGTCTGCGGTTGTCTCGTATGCGTAGATTTTGCCGTTACCAGCACCTACTGCAAGCTTCTTTCCCGAGGGAGAGAAGGCAAGTGCTGAGATTGGGGCCGTCGCGCGGCGGAGGACCGTCTCTGACTCGTTGAGCTCGGTGCCGGAAAGGGTGTAGATGTGTACAAGCTTGTCGTCTCCACCAACGGCTACGGTGGAGCCGTGCGCAGCGATTGAGGTCGGTGTGTACTTGACCGATAGTGAGCTTACTTGGGCGCCCTTGGAGTATACAGCTATCGCGTCGGATGACGGAACGAGGACGATGCTCGATGTGGCCGCGATAGCCTTGGGCTGGAACTTGAGGTCGTGTGCCTCTCCAGTAAAGATCTTGTCTGGAACTGAGATGGAACGTAACGTGTCATCCCATGCAACACTGTGTAATTCAACCTCGTTCTTGCTGTCGGATGTGGTGATGCCGGCGACATAGCTGGAGTGGGAGGCGCCTTCGACCCTATCGGCCAGGCCCGTTGTAGTATCCCATGCCAGCACACGGCCTTCATAGCTGCCTGTGGCGAAGGTAGTCCCGGCGATGGCAGCCGCTGTGATGTTCTTTTGGTGTCCTCGGATGACACGCGTGGGGTTCGGGTTACCGTCGACCAGGTAGTTGAGATTGCCGTCGAGATCCACGCTCACAATGAGGCCGTCACTGCGGCCTGCTGGCCACACAACACCGACCTGCTGATCGGGTATGCTTGCAACGCCTTCTTCGCCCATCCTCCACCTCTGAATGGCCTTGCCAGCTTCAGGATCCCATATCCGAACCGTCTGGTCAGCGCTGGCTGTGACGAACTTGGTCGAGTCCTTTGCCCACGAGATGCCGAATATGCTGCCAGTATGCACACCCTCTCCAATCTGTGTCTTTGCCTCACCAGTCTTGCCATCGTATAGCCAGATGCGCTTATCGGCGCCAACACTAGCAAAGACGGAGCCATCGGGAGAGAAGGCGGTACCAAAGACGAAACGATTATGCTGGCCCCTCAAGCTGGTGTTGAACTTGAAGGGAGCGCCATGGTAGAAGACCAGGCTGGTATCGTCGGAACCCGTGGCTGCACGGAGCGGCCGTTGCTGACGGATCGAGACACAGTTGATCTGCGAAGAGTGTCCCGATATCTCGCCTACGCTGTTGCCGCTGTCGGCCGTGATGCAGTGGCCGAAACGCTCCTTGCCGTCACCGACTGCAATGATGCGCTGCGAGTCGCCGTCCCACGCCAAGTCGTTGATGCGCCCCGCGATGATGTGGTACTCGCCTGTGTTGTCCACGTCAGCTCCGTCGTGATAGCATCTGTTCCTTTACCCACCCTTTGTAGCCCCCTCGCCGACACAGTCCCATACTCTGACACTTCCCGACACATCTCCGCTGGCAACGTAGAAGCCAGAGGGCGAAAAGCGGGCGACGGTCGTCTGTGCTGTGTGTTGCGTGTACTGCGTGCTAACAGCGGGATCGTCGATGGAGCGAAGGAAGACGGATTTGCCAGACTATGCAAAGTCAGTCACGTTACCAGAAGCTTCACTCCATGGTTATTCCCATACCGCATAAGCTATGCGTTCGCCCTTGGGGTCCGAAGACAGCGGCGTGGCCTGCCCTCGAGTAGTTGTAGGGGACGCTGCCCAGATGGCCTCTGTTTACGCTTAGTTGCTGCCATTTCGAACCTCCACATGGTCGATATCCGTACCTGATACTAGGGACATGACGCGCTGTAATGCCTACTAAACTTCAGATATCGAAAGATGATATGCAAAGCAATTGTGCCAAAGTTGGCATGTGAACTTTGTCGCTGGGCGGTGGCCTCTGCTTCGTCACCGCCTGTGTGTTTCGGCGTAAACAAGCTACGAGTCGCGGGGCAGGTGGGGTTGCCTTCATCACTACTTAGCCAGCAATGCAATCAACGTGCTTCCCCATCACATTACATGACCGACCACGTCTTCGCCTACGTTACGCGTCTAATGAGCCGCGTCTGGTACTGTCAGACCTAGCTCCACCTAAGCTCTAAACGTGTACCCACGCTATATATGTACTATACTCAAGTGATATGGCCGGGCATCCCTCAATTCCTTTCGCAGCCCGACCCCTACCAATGCCAGATATCAAGAGGCTGGTAGGCTAAGAGAGTGCATCAGTATAAGCAGAGAACAACCTTGGAACACCCCAGCAGACCTTGGCGCACGTCATTGCCGTGTCTGGAAATACTGCGCATTCAACTGGCACTACAATAGACCTACCATTCCGCACTACCTTAAGAAGTGGTTCAACCTCCACGCTCGAGTCTATCGAGATAACTTCAATCGCTAGCACTGAGTGGCAGACGCCTCATTCTCTAGACAAACATCGTCGTCATATCCGGCAACCCGGCACCTCTCCCACATCATCATCTTGCACACCATCAACAAAAACACAACCACAATGTGTCTATTCAAGACGTATGAAACGCGCGGTCGCACTGTTGTGGAACCCCCACCTAGACGAGGAAACTTCACGTCCCACCCGCCGGCGGGTGTAATGCGCTTACCGCGCGAATGGCGCCGCTCAGAGAGCTACAGCGACGACGGCCACTTTGTGGAAGTCAGGTGAGTTGTATCCTTCTCCCAGCCTGCTTTCTCATGCTAATGATACCCAGGAGATCGCAACCCCGGGTTATCGAATACTATGAGGAGCCAAGGCGCAGCACTACGCGCCATAGGAGTAGGTCCAGGCGACGAATTAGTGATGTCGATGTTAGGACGCCAAGGGGAAGTTATGTGGATGAGAGGGTTGTTAAGAGGAGTGTTAGTCGTGTTAGGCATTGATGGTGGCAGAGATTTGGATGAGATTGTGAAAAAGTCCTGGTCTGGTTTTGAGAGAAGGGAGTTGGATACGTCTATTTCTATATTTTATTTTCGATACTACGTAATTAAGTGAACCAAAAAATTGTTTGTTACAACGACACCAGTATCACACCGATGACCCAAGCTAAAGAACAGCGAACTGAATGTTTTGAGAAAAGTATACCAAAAAAATTGTTCTTCAAATCATATCACAGTTGCTGGCTCTGGTTACTAACATAAATCTGCAAGATGCATTAATCCCTGTCATTTGCTGATTTGACTCACCACGGGACTATCGGACGACTCATAGTTGCAACATCAGTCATCTAAGTATAAGATCCAAGTCTTCTCATTCAAACTGAAAATCAAACAACTAGTGTATCTGTTGAGAATATCTGGGTTCAGTCCAGGTAGAAGGTGCTTGGGGATCACATGATGTGCTGGTGTGGCAGGCACTGCCCGGTGGGCAATAGCACCCACCACAATAACGTGAGACCTTGACACCAAACCACGATAGTTAATACAATACGTTGCAGCCACCCCGCCTTGTCCCTCCTCCCACTCGGTTATCCATAGTAGTCATACTACTAGAGGGACCTTGTTCCAATAGTATCTCAATTTACTTCCAACCACTGATCAGTTTTTCCAACCTTAGTTTCTCACACTGGCATCACACCCAATGCAACGCTGCTGCGTCATTGGCACCCTACACACCGGCACTCCAAAAGGAGAGATCAAGTATATGAACAATGGTATAACACCCTCCACCTAATCTAACCCCTTCGCTCATCCATCTAACACATCCTCCACAGTCCGAACATACACCCGTCTCACCCCCCTCTCCCCATCCAACCAATCCAACCCCCCCCCCCCCCCCATAGCGGCCCTCATAATAATGACTGACATATTCGGCCCCACCTTCCCCAACACGCAACTCCTCGCAGACGCGTTCGCCCTCTCAGGCTACCTCGTCCTAATCCCCGACGTCTTCTGCGGTCGCGAACTCACCTTCCCCATCCCTCCATCATTCAACCTGCAACACTATATAGACATGACGATGCCGCGGGCCGAGACGGTGGACCCAATTTACAAAAGAGTGATACAGTGGCTGAGAGAAGAGAGAGGGGTGAAGAGGGTAGGGGGTGTGGGATATTGTTTTGGGGGGAGGTACGTGTGTAGGTGGTTAGCAAAAGCAGAAGGAGGGTTAGACGCGGGGTTTATCGCACATCCGAGTTTTGTGAATGCGGAGGAGGTGTGGGGGGTAAATAGGCCGTTGAGTATCGCTGCTGCTGGTATGGATAAACTCATCTCATCACATTCGGCATAATGGGAATAGCAACATGTGAATACAGAGAAAAGAATACGCTAACGCTAACGCAAACAGAGACTGATGATATTTTCCCAGCGGAGAAACGACGCGAAACGGAGGATATTCTCAAACAACTCTCGGTCCCGTACGAGCTGTGTCTTTACTCGCATGTTGAACATGGGTTTGGCGTCAAGGGGGATCTGTCGCATGCGAGGGCTAAGTTCGCCAAAGAGCAGGCTTTTCGACAGGCCGTGTGCTGGATGGATGAGTATGTGAAGAAGGACTGGAGGGAGGAGGATGGTCGCTCATAATTGGTTGTACAATAGCGTGAGCCCGCCTTCATCACCCCAGTACGCCTGGCGAACCTCCAAATCGTCTCTCTCCGCTCTCCCTCAATTCATGAGAACAGAATTGTAACCGACGTCATCTCCCGTAGACCACATCTCTTCCTTTGTCTCCTGGATATACAGTCTCATACACATTGAACAGCGACAAGGCCACTTGCCCGAAAGCTTCCGTACGCCATCGGATATCATCGTAGCCGCCCAGATACAAAATTGGACACTGAAGAGTGCAATGAGAAAAGCGACGAAGAGAAGCGCGCCTAGTACGAAGCCCTGGGCGAATTCCTTCAGTGCGATATCGTGGGTTGGGATAGAGGTCCCAGGGACGTGCATTTGGAAGTTGTGAGGATGCGAAGCGGGGACCGTGGCTTGATAGGGGTAGAGGGGTGCCATGGTGGTTGTCGTCTTTCGGTGGGGTATGTGGGTTTTGGTGATAGCTAGAGTGAGGTTGGTGGCGAGTTTGTGCTACCTTGGGATATCGCAAAGTACGTTGGCGGTATTGATGTAGAGCTAGAGCTGTTGATGTTGTGTTCCAGCGAATGGATTCACAACGTTTTTAGAGGAACTCTCGCCATAACTAAAACGAACCGTCACTTCCACGAGCTCATGTTTGGTTGCTTGGTTGCCCTGCAGCCCCTTCCACGCCCTTCTGTTCCCTCAACACCGTACCTGCTTCATCGATCTTAGAAGCCCAGGGTGGCTCCCCATCATCATCAAACTCAGCCCATTGGAAGAAGCTGCATCCCTTCTTACCAGGAACATATCCAGCATGACACATCCACATGTACCTTCCTCTCGACTCCTTCTTCCTTGTCGCGCACCTGAGCACTGTAGATACACCACACCGGCACTTGGGCGTATATCTAGGATGTAAGCTTTCCTTGTAGAATCGGTAAGTGATATTAAGCCGCTTATTCTTCGCAAGTGGATGTGGATCAATAGTCTGAGCCGGAGCGATGCAATGCTTCCACTCCTCCTGCATCTCGGCGTGCATGACCAAGAGCGAGTTATGTGGCAGATGTATGCTGATTTGACCCTGTGCATCTGCGAGTGAACCGTCTGCTTTCTGGTGCTCGTCATCTTCCGCGACGATCTTGCGAACACGGAATTCCCGGGCTACTCCTAAGCTCAGACTGCCGATTACTGCACGGGGACCAAGATATGTGAGTTGGTCGGCATGGTATCCGACACTTTGTTGCGGACCGTCGTAGCAGTTGACAAAGGCGGTGTTAGCTTTCCATGGGTGAGGCGATTGGTATTTGAGCTTCTTGCTATTGGGATAGAAGTCGCGTATCCGACGCTGGACCTCGCCATGAACTGCTTCTTCGACTTGGGGGCAAGCCTTTAGCATCTCTGGCAGGCTTTTTCGCACATGCTATACATTATCAGTAGGTGTGAATATACAAGCCTTGTTAACTTGCCTCGATCTTGCGACCATCATAGACGTACTCGGTCTTTTGCTCTTCTGCTTCTTCTAGGCTGTTGACATAGAAAGCAAAGGTGCTACGGGTGACGACTACTCTATCGAAAAGTTTGAATTCCAGGGTCTTGTACGTAGGCGTTTCTTCCAAGAGCTGTGATAGCAAGGCATCTGCTTGCTTTGGTGGGAGGAAGTTGTGGATGATAGAGCAGGGTGTATGGGCCTCAATGTCTTCTGGGCTGTACAGGGACAGTGTCCTGCCTTTCTTGACAGCAGACGATTTCTTTGCCGGGTTACCGTCAAGCGGAGTAATACGATAGGAGCTCAACGATGATTGATAACCGACTGTGGCTGGGGTGGAGCGTTTCCTTGGAGATGTAGTCCGAGGCTGGTTCAGATAGTCCGAGGCTTGCTCAACCGATCCATCGGCAGCCAGCAGAGTTTCGAGCAGTGTTGCTTCATCCAGGTTCGGGTGAAGAGAGGCCAGCAATGCCAGCTTGAACTCGGTAGGCTCTTCTTCATGCTGCGTACCCGGTTCATGCTCCAAGATGCGAGTCGCTCCAGTCGCCGGCTTAGGCTCTGGCTCTGGCTCAATCCGCTTCCTCTTGCGGGACACAAACGCGTCCATGATGGTCGTCGGTGCTACAGCGCGTACTCATGATCAAGGCGACGAAAGCAACCGACGCGCCTTAGCAGCAGTGGCGAATCAAACGCGCTATCACGGGACAAGCAGACGCGCAGTCAGACTGGCACTGGTGTCAGTGTTCAGCCCCGCCAAAGCCTCGCGCCTCGGCCAGTTCAGCCATCGTCATCCGTCACCATGCTGCAGCACCCGCACAGCTCCCACAGCTTCACAACGCCGCGAGCCACAATGCGCCATATGCCATACACGTTCCACGCGACATAGTCAAACTTGCACCCGCACCCGCCCGCCCGCCCGCTCCATCCCTAACCTCGCCAACGATGCTTGAATTCCGGACCCAGGGCTTCAACGGCTACTCTGTCAAATACAGCCCATTCTTCGATTCGCGCATAGCCGTCGCAGCATCCGCAAACTTTGGTCTCGTCGGCAACGGGCGATTATATATTCTCGGTCTCACGGCAAACGGCATCGTTGCAGAGAAATGGTTTGCAAGCCCCTCTCCCCTTCCAAACACTCCATCATAGGTTGACCTTCCCAAAGGTTCGACACACAAGACTCCCTCTTCGACAGCACATGGTCTGAAGCACACGAATCCCAGCTCCTCACCGCCGGCGGCGACGGCTCGGTAAAACTCTTCGACATCAACGTGCCCACGTACCCCATCGCCTCGTGGCAAGAACACGCGCGCGAAGTCTTCGCCGTGCACTGGAATCTCGTCGCAAAAGACACGTTCCTGTCGTCGTCCTGGGACGGCACAATCAAGATCTGGAACCCTAATTCCAATGCCAGTCTAACAACATTACCCACTCACTCGTGCACGTATTCTGCGAGTTTTAGTCCGCACAGTCCTAGTGTATTGAGTAGTGTGAGCTCGGATAGTCATCTTAGGGTGTTTGATTTACGGACCCCGGCGAGTGCGAGTAATCATTTGACTATGAGTGTGCCGATTCATACACCGCCAAAGGCGAGGATGGGTGCCGCGGCGCCCGTGGGGATTGCGCCCGCTGAGGCGCTAACGCATGATTGGAATAAATATCGCGATACTATTGTTGCGACGGCGGGTGTGGATCGCGTTATTCGGACGTTTGATATTCGAATGCCGCAGCAGGGGCCGGTTGCTGTGCTGCCGGGGCATGAGTATGCCGTCAGGAAAATTAGCTGGAGTCCGCACCTTTCGGATATCTTGCTAAGTGCCAGTTACGATATGACGTGCCGTGTGTGGACCGACGGTAGTGCCATGGGCGTGGGCAGTGTGAAGCAGGAGAATATGCTCGAGGATCCCATGTTTTATGGGGGTGGACGGGAGATGGGGAGCATGGGGAGGCATACTGAGTTCGTGACGGGCGTGGATTGGTGTCTTTTTGGAGCTGAAGGTTGGTGTGCCAGTACGGGCTGGGACGAGCGGGTTATGGTGTGGGACTGTAGGGCAGTCATGCAATGAACGTTTTGAAATTTTGTTTCGAGTTTTCAGAGCGTTGCTGACTTCCTAACATACTGTACAAGGAAACAACAAGCTCGCCGGGTCACATGTAACGTTTATTCGGACAAAACGTCTCCCACAGGAAAAGACTGGGTATCATCCCACTGCAACACCAGAGCACCGTGATGCGAAGCCCCAAACGCCATCAAATGCAAAGCTCAGAACGCCATGAATCAGAGATCACCGAGATTGAGGACGTCATCGAGCGCGTCGTCCAGCTCCTGCACATCCTGCACACCGCCCCCTTGCCAGTTCGTGTTGACTTCGTCGTCAATCTGCATCGGGTCGCCAAAGTCAATCGTCCACGTTTCGCCCTTGAGCTGATGTTTCGTCGCACCGGTACCATTAATGCCATTTGTGAGTGCACCATTGGTAAGTGGTTTCGCAGGCTCGTCGTATATCTCCTCTATGCCCTCGGTATCCAGAAACCTCGAATTCATTATCGATCCAGCAATAAGTGGTGTTTGGCCCAGATACGAGTCCCCAAGATCCAGCGCAAGCCTCAAGTCCTCCATGCATAATAGTTTTCTCTTCCGTCGCTCTTCTGTTTCAATGGGCAGTTCGCCGCCGCTTCCCCTTAGCAATTCGCCCCGCTCGGCTAGCCGTTCCTCGCGCGCCAGCTTCTTCTTGAACTCGCCTGTGCGAACATAACCAGGGCCGTTACTGCTGACTTTGCCCAGCAGGTTGGCCAAAGCCTCCTTGATGTATGTTTCGGTTGCAATATTGAGGTAGTCTGGGCAATCGACCGTGTGACCTTGTGGAAGTCCGAACTCGTAGCATATGGGAAGAAGGCGATAGCCTATTGTGGTCGCCGTAGGGAACTCGTGCGTCTCGACGTAGAGGGCTGAAGTATAGCGTTTACGAATCTCAAGATCCCAGTCTGATGGCCCGTACTATTAGCATCTCGAGCGCGGATACTAAGGGTAACAGGGTGTGTGTGCCATGTTGGTACTTACTCGTCTTGCCGAATCCTCCTCCGCCTTGGATGTTATTTGCGCCAACGTCCATCTGCTTCGCCCGTCTCGCCTCAACGTACTCTTGCGCCGGTCCGGTCGCAGCACCACCCAGCCCCTCCAGTCCTGTGCTCAACGGACTCTCGCCTGCGGGTATCCCTTTTAACCTCTTTCTCTCTCTCCGACTCAACTGCATGACTTCATGTTTGAGCCTCTTCTCGCTCTCATCCCCTGTCCCCTTGATCGTCCCGCTCGTCGGCTTGTCACTACTACTGACCCAGCTCGCGATGCCTGCGTCTGGTGCATCACGCCATATGTTGCCGTATATAGCCGTAAAGAGAGCATTGTGTGCGTGTTCGAGCGCGGGCGTCGTTAGGATCTTGGATAGCTTGTGGGTAAGCTCCTCTTGGTTCAAGTTGCCGAGCAGGAAAAAGGACAGGGCTTTTTTATATATTGTCCAGTCGGCGTCGCTTATAGAAGCTTTCACGGCCGTGTAAAGTGGTTCGACGTCTATACGAGGACTTCGTGGTGCACTTGGCTTCTTTGCGACGTCCGTCTGCAGCGACGCGAGGTTGGGGAGGGTGCCCGAGGACAGCGTGGGCGTCGTCGACACATTCATGTCATTTGGGCGTATTGTGCCGGCCATGATGGCCAAGTCTACGCGCCGTGGTGGCGCTCAATGCCTGACTGAGTGGGTGATGTTGTCGCCTGTCGCGCAGCGGGACAGATGCGCGTACCGACTGCGGAGAAGGGGCAGGAACACACCTCGGCCACTGCAACACCTGCGCGATGCACCGAAAGCGTACAAGTGATCGCAGACGCAGTCGCTCGCGATTTTCGATGAAAAAGGGCTATAACGAGTGTGGAGCGGGGCATAGGCTGATGGAACAACACGCAGTCGTGAAGTGCGTGAGGTTCAGAGCTCGGGAGTCCTGCGGAGTTGACGCTGACCAGCCTGGCAAGTCACAAAGTCACTGCATCACTAACGACACCCAAAACATCAGCGCCGCATCACTCCAAAAGTACCCTGGATATACACAATATAAAGACTTGACTCGCTATGATTGCATACCTCATCATCAAATGCCCTCGTGAATGCTCCCGTCCCAAATGCTTTTACAATGCTTCTATGCCATGTCACCGCCATGTATGCCTTAATTATCGCCAAACACATCTCCCAGCTCAACCTTTCCTACACTCCATATCTCACGCTCGTCTTCAACCTCGTCACTCGACAAGCCCAGGCCGCCAGCTCCTCCCTCGGCTTCTTTCCTCTCTCTTGCCTGTCCTGCTAATCTCGTAGCCACCCTCTTGAAGTAGTCTCCCATGCTGCGCTGCTGACCAGGAGACAGCTCCTTGCCCGGCCCGCTCATGTACTTGTCGAACACGGCGCCTTCTTCATCTACAACCGAAAAGATACTGAGGAAAGCCGCTTCAGCCGACAGCTTCACTGGGATAACCGGGTCGCGGACAGATGCGAATACAACTGGTACCACGAGTGCGATATGGGGACGGACCAGCTCGTTGTGCTCTCGAGCAAGCGTTCGGAGCACCACAAGTGCCAATCTCCTCGTGTCAACGGGATGGCCGGGTTCAACAACAGGCGCAAGCGCCTCGAAGATTGGCTTGGTGTGATCGAAGCTCTTGTTACTCTTCTCCGAAAGGAGATACTTGCCAGCCGCGAGGATTGCGTTGTCTGATATGAACGGTTGGGAATGTGCGATACCTTGGCAAATCACAGTGATAGTGTCATCTGCGAAAGATCCTGTCAGGGCTTCGGGGGCGTCTAACAGAATAGCATTAAGTGCTAGTACCGAAGCCTTGCTGAAATGAGTCGTGAGAACACGAGCCTTGAGCAAGCTGGAAGCAACATCCTCAGGCAGGCAGCTAATGAGGGCACCCAAGAGGCGGGCATTAGTGATTGCCATAGCATCTGTCGCATGTTAGTCATTGTCATCACGGCTCAGCGCGTGTCCAACTTACCATTCGAGTCATCCGTCTCGTTGTCGATGAGACCGAGGATAGAATTCCTGCTAGCTTCGCTCATGTTCTTGCCTGCTTTGCTGACTACCTCAAACAAGGCCTTCAACATAGCTGTCTTGACAGCCTCATCACTCGTCTTGGATCCGGTGACTAGTTCAGCAATGAGAGGATCGACCCTGGGTGTCAACTTGATCAAAGTACCAAGAGCCTTGGCTGCACGCGCTCGCAGTACATCGGATGATGTATCAGCAAGTGACTTGGCAAACGTACGCTGCAGCTGAGGCAGGAAGGGCTTGAGGAAAGTTGGTATCTTCTCAAGCAAGTTGTTGAGTGTAAGTAAGATAGCTGCCTTGACCTCGACAGACCGTTCCGTGACCACACGAATGAGAGGTCCAGTGATCTGAGTAACGAAGGGCTGTAATGACTTGGCACTCGTGCGGTCAATGACGTCTGAGATAGCCAGAGCGGCCTGTGTCCGCTGGTCGATAGTTCCGTTCATGAGACCCTGCAGGAAAATGGGTAAGACGGCGTTGATACCCTTGGGTAATGAGAAACCTGGGAGGTCGGCACCGGCTACACCGACTTGGTTGAGCGTCTGGCGGGTGGAAATGACGAGCGATTCCATCTCCTCTTTGCGGAGACGCTTTGATGTGAGGGTGCTGAGAGCAGTCCATGCAGCTTTGACCACTTCCGCGTCGCTGTCGCCAAATGAAATGAGCAATGCCCGGATGAGTTCGGGGTAGTATCTCGAGAAGTCAACGTCGCACTCTGCAAAGAACTTGGCCAAGTGCATATCAGCACGCGCACGTCTTCGCTCATCATCATGCTTTGACAGTGCCAGCATAACGCTCATGGCAGTGTTCAGTCCGTCATACTCGTCTACAGACAACAGGACCTTGTCGAAAGATGTCTCGAGCTCCGCCCTGAGGTCTTCGTCCTTGGTAGCAATGACGTTGTCCATGATGGTGTTGAGGATATTTGGTAATCTCCTAGTCATCGCAGAGCTTGCAACTTCAGCCAATGATGCAATGGCGCGGGCATTGAATGCAGACATGGGAGATGTAAGAAGTGTCGGCAGCAAGTTTGGAAGAATGATGTTCGACCGAGCTTGATCCGTGAGAAGGGTGAGAAGCGCGGAAAGCGCATTCTGAGCATCATTGTCCGAACGGAGGAGATTGAGCAGGTATGGCAAGACCTCATCAACAGCTGTCTTACCAAAGATTTGTTGCAGAGCGTCAAAGGCCTCTGCGGCTGCTTCTCGCACGTCCACGTTCGGATCGACCAAAGCAGTTCGTACAACCTTGATAAGAGTCTTCTCGTAGTCTTCAAGCTGCTCTGGTGAGGCGGCATCTATGAGCTCGCGGAGAGCGATACAAATACCCTGCTTGGCATCGGTATCGGTAGTGTGCAGACCATCCTCCAGAGTAGGCAACAGTGTAGCAAGGACGCCATCACCAGCCTTGCGGATGAGCTCACCAAGTGCGCTGCTAGCAATGTGCTTTTGCTCCATGCTCGAGCTTGCGAGGCGGCGAATGATGAGTTGTGTAAGCGTAGGTATAAGCTCACGTAGAGTACGCGGGCTGGCCACCAACGCCTTCCAGACGTTGATAGATGCTGTGCGCACCAGACCAGATGAGTCGCATCTGCAAATGTATAGTGCCGAAAGAACCTTGTTCCTTTTCTCCTCTCCAAGGACCTCAAGCAAAGACTGACCAGCCTCCTTCGCACCCTCTTCGACTTCATCTTCTTCCACCTTGCCACTGATGCCAGTGAGGTTGAACAGCAGATCACCCACAAGCTCAACGGAACTGAGACGAATGCGGTAGCTGTCATCTGCGAGACCTCTCTCAAGTTCGGGCAACAAAAGGTCGATGGCCTTTGTAGCAAAGTTCTTGACCAGAAGACGACCGGCGCGTAAAGCGGTTTCTCTTATCGACTCGACATCGTCCGCCAGACCTCCTAGAATAGGAGGAATGATCTTGCTGAGATAATTGGCAAAGCTGTTTCCAAAACAGACAGGTAAGAAAATGAAGAGTGACATGAAGCCTTCTCGTACGGAAGCTCGGTTGCTGGAAACATTCTGCAGGATACTTGGTAGTGTCTCTTCCAGACGTCCGGTTCCAAGACCGGCAAGAACCTCTGAAAGAGCCTGGGCAGAACCGAGGCGATCGCCGGCCCCAGTGTCGGACTTGAGAGTTGCCATGAGGCTTGGAATGAGATCCGGCAAAGCATCCTCTCCTAGTTTCTCTACAAGTGAGCCGAGCGCTTTGGATGCGGTAGCACGAGTGGCAGGTACTGGATCCACAATAGCTACGCGCAAACCAGCGACGAGAATCGGAAGATGAGACGTAAGATCTTTTCGCTCTGAAAGATAAGCTAAACTGCCAATGATCTGGGAAGACTTTCGTTTCGTTCCGGATCGGTCGCCCAAGCCACGCTCTAGAATACGCACCACAAGGGCAAGCGACGGTGCGTCCAAGAAATGAGCGAACTGAATCTTGATGAGCGCATCGAGAGCATCGTCCGTGTATTTGGTGGGGTCGCTAAGAGCCTTTAGGATGATGTTGACTACACTCTTGATTTCGGGATTGCTGATGACTTCGCCGAAGCGCTGCAAACTTCGATTGGCTGATGCTCGCACTTCTTTGTGACTATCCGTCAAAACGACCGTTAGAGGTGGAATGATGTCGGGCAAGCTCAGAGCGAGCTGGTTCGGATCGAGGTACGCCATGGCACCCAGAGAGTCGCAAGCACCCTTCTTACTACGCCATTGGTCCTCATCAAGACCCTCTAGAAGTATTGGTAGCACTTGCTTCACTCCAAAAGAACTGAGCGTCGAGAAGCAAGTCTTTGCTGCATCGAGACAAGCCTCTCGAACGTCTGTACTACTATCACCGAATCCAGCGAGCAGTTGCGGCACCAACTGGATGACGTACGGCTCGAATAAGCGGCCCAGAATCAAAGACAGAAGCTCATATGCCAGATATACCCCCTGTCTTTGGTTGGGATCTTTCTTGTTGTCACTGGCCCCTTTGAGGGTGGACATGATGCGATACTCCTTCAGAACACCTAGGCCCTTGCCGCGAACGATACCCGCGAGGCCATAGGCAGCACCACGGCGCGATGCGTACTTCTTTGATTGAAGTAACTGCTCCATCATCTGGTTGATGTAGTTGGGAAGCTCTTGTTCTGATGTGCGCACGAGAGGGGGAAGACATTGTGCAACAGCATATTGTACTGTCTCAGAGGGTGTGCTGAGAGTTGCCAAAAGCCTCTGAACGACTTTGGGAACCCGCTGATCTCCTGCAGCCAGATGACGACCCAGAGCACCGTAGAGGATAATAACTGCCTCGTTGACTTGGTCGTACATCTCAGACTTGCGATCGGGTGCCTCCAAAGCGTTCTCGAAAAGCTCCATCAGTGGTTCTACTTTAGTCTGCGCCTTGACTGTGATGACTGATGTTGCTGCCTCGATTAGCTCATCTCGCACTGCAGGGCTCCGATCCCCAAGTGGGCCCTCGAAGATCAAGAAGTTCAAGAAGTCGACGAGATCATCAGGCTTGAAACCTGGCGTCATTTCCTTAAAGGTGAGTGCGATACCATCTCTGCTTTCCCAGGGATCTCGCAAATCGATCTTGCGCGGCATTCCATACTCGTCGCGCTCTGGAACCCGAGGCTTGGCCTTTTCTGTGTAAGACTCCCTAAGTCTTTGGAGGAGGTCCTGGAATGTATCCGGGAACTTGGTGATGATTTCACCAATGGATCGAGCAGCGGCTCGCCTGAGTTGCTTGTCGAGGGAATCAAGATAAGGTAGCATTCGTACACCTGCATCTGGTTTGAGCTCAAGGTCATTTTCATCCCAAATGGTTCGTGCGAGCTCAGCATTCTCCGGCACATCGTCATGGCACGCAATGAAAATTTCTTCACTAAAGGTAAGATCGTTCATGTCGAGCTCAGCATCAATGGCCTGTAAAGTCGCTGTTCGGACACCAGTCTCGGGAACAATGGTACCACGAAGTAGTGCACCCAACTCTTCGTTGCTAATGTTAGGGGCGAGGCCACTGGCGAGATCGGTAATGCAATCCTTGATCATCTTGTAGTGCTGCTGATACCGCTGCATGGACCAGACGAGGATTTCTAGCAAGCTCTTACGCGGCAGACGAGGATCGGTGCAGGAATCTGTGTGGAAAGCCAGTACTTCGATTGCTAGGATGAGCTGCTCATCAGACTCCTCGGGTGATGTTTTGCCAATGCCGCCCTTTTCCAGTACAAGGAAAAGGAGAGGGAAGCAGTAAGCCAATGATACTGCGTCAAGTGGCCTCTGCTCGCTAAGGAAACGGAGTCGGTATAGAACACGCGTGACAAGATCGCCTAGATCTTCATCTTCGTACTCTTTGGCGAGCTGTATAGCACCGATCGTACGCAAAACTGCAACACCAACAAAGGGTCTGAGTACGCCAAGACGGTTAGATATACGTTCGGAGCAGGCAATTAGAGCTGTCGCCGGGATATCTCCCAACAAAAGTCCAGCGCCGGCGCGAATAGCTTGGATCAAAAGACCTACAGCCGATCCCATCCATTGCTCTGCCTCAGTTGGAGGGCCGGTTGCTAGGCTCTGAATTATGCCAACGCCTCGCCTCATCCGCTGCTCTGTAGCAGTGATCTCTTTCCGTATGGCAGACTCTTTCGCTAATTGAGCATTGACCTTGGCCTGCTCGTCTGGAGTGAGCTTCTTGGTTTGGCCCTTCTTCTGTGCAAGTTGCGCTCGCAATTCCTCCTCCCATTTCAGAGTATCGTAGTCTTTGGTGTTCTTGTCTATCACAACGGGAGCCTTCTTCGACAAAACGTCAATGTAAGCAGTTCCCTCGGGCGTTCGGAAGATGGCGGCCTCGGTAGGCCCGACCGATTCGAGCTGCTTTGGATCAAGGTCTTGACTGAATTGTTTAACGACAGCTGGCAAAGCAGTATCGGGGGCCACAAAGGCCATGTCAGTGTAGGCACTGTACGCTGCCAGACTGACAGCTGGAAACTGATCGTTCTCTTTGTTCTATGTGAAGTTAGCAAGATAACGACATGATAAGCTGCAAGTGGGATGTACCTCAGTGACACTATTGACAGTACTCATGAAGGCTTCCAGGTGGTTTCGGACTAGTTCACCTGGATCCACGCCCATGCGAAGGCAAAGGTCGATCCAAGACACCCGCGGCATAATCTCCTTTCTTGCCAACACGACCAGGCTCATAGCCTGTTTTTGTAGAACCGCAGTATCTATGCTTGCGTCGTGTTTCTTCAGGCTATCGGGAGGCAGGCAGATAGATGCCAATACGGCGCCAAGATCGCCCGTCTGTGCTTTGGAAAGAACCGCTGCACTCTCCTTGTCCCCTTGCTCAGATGACCTGTACCATGACCACAAACCATTTATGATGATGCTGCTGATCTTTTCAGGGGAGGTTCGGAGATATGATTTCGTCAGTACTTGCTTCGCAGCCGAACTGGCCTGGCTTGAGAGAGTTCGAGATATTGTGAAGAATATGACGGCCTGTGCCCACGCATTTGCCACGTCCCCTGAAGATGTATCAGCGACACTAGGGGCTATGGCTGCCAAGGCACGCATTGCGATTGACACATCTTCTTCAGTGGACACTTTCGAGTACACCTTTTGGTTCAAAAGGAAGGACGGCTTGGGCTGTGTAGCGAGAGATTGTGAGATGACGTCGGATTTCTTGAATATAGAGACCAGCTTTTCGTCATTGGCGTTCTGCACCTTTCCAATGAGTAGCGCAGTCACGTAATGGCCTACCGTGACCAAACCACTCTGGGCTGCCGGGAGAGGGTTAGCATTGACTTCTTGCCAAATTTCGACAAGTTTTGGTAGAGTGGTCTGGCAGAAGGCAAGTACATCTGGTCGAGCCTGCTGCTCCTGAGAGAGATTCCACCAGATGTCGCCCGCCCGTAGCGCCCACAGCCGTTTGACGGGTATGCGCCTGTCTGCCATGCCTTTGATGAAAGCATCGGACACTGTCTTGTCAACACTCACACCATTTGCTAAGCCAAAGTTGAGATGTGTAGTCAAAGCTGACACTTCAGCTAACACAGCTGGCTCACTCGGCTCTTTCAATGCGACCGGGGCAATGCCAGCCGGTATCTTGGCTGACAACGACGTTGACTGTGGTAGCACTGCTAGCATCTGAGCATGCAAAATCTTTTGGTCGGCACCAGACACTTTGCCTTGCTTGAGAGGGGTAAGAAGTTCATCTGCGACTTTGTCGACCTTTTCGCCATCCTGCGACCTGGAAGCCAAGGCCTTGAAGGTTCGCAGGGCGCCTGCTCGGATTGCGGGGTTGGTTGACTTGACGTTTGAAAGCAGCGGCTTAAGCATACTTATCAAGAGTATGTCGGAGAGATCCAGGGACTGGGGAAGGGCCAAGATCATGGGCGAGAGAACGTCGTTGAGTACCACTTCCGGGGCTCTCAGTAACGCCTTCTCGATGGGCGGGAAAACATCCTTGCGCAGTTCTTCTAGTGTGGGAAAGCTGTCAAAGAAATCATGCAGGCCTTTGGACACATAGTCGGGTAACTGGGTCCTTGATCCAATAATCTCCCTGGTGTAAAATGTGTAGTAGTCTGCTTTGTGCTTCTCGAACACGGGCTTGACGGTCGGTAGACGCGAAGAAACACCGGCGATGACTCCCAGGAAGACAGCATTTCCAGCCGTTGGGGCGGAGCCTTTGGCAGTGAAGGTAGTGACCAGTTTGGAAAGGGCGTTCTGGCCAAATGTCTCAGAGCGGAAGATGGCGCGTAAAGCCCGGCGCGTTGAGACGAGTGCGGAAGCTGCGATTCGGTCGGCACGTCGATGAGGTCCTGCACGCACACACGTCTCCAGTGCGAGAGCATTGGCGGTCGCCAAATCCAGACCATGTTTCGACCATGTCTCTGCCGACTTTGCGAGTTGTAGTAGCAGGACCGAAGCCCAATCGACCAGCACAAAGGCGTTTGTGGGTGCTAGGCCCTTCTTGGAGCACTCCTGTTTGAGAAACTTGACAATTGGCGGCAGGACCGTGTCACCATGGGGTCCTTCTACAAGCGACTTGAGGACGGCTTCGACTGCGCGGCGAGATTCCCGATCTTCGTATAGTGGGTATGTTTCGAACAGGTTTTCTAGTATGGCTTGCAGGTCGGCATTGACGAGTGCTACATGTTCAATTCTAGTCAGCCTCTACTTAATTTACATGCATTGCCTTTTTCCACTTGTTCCTCACTCACAGTCGTCTGCGACCTGGTGCTGCAGCGCCGAGAGCTCAGTAATGCGACGCTTGGTAGAGCTCGTTATGAGCTTCTGCCGCAGGCCGTCGCGGCTTATGGCCTGCGACTCAGCGTCCCCGTTTGCAGCCATGTCGTCCAGTCCACATGAGCAGGTGGAAAGCTGGAATGCGGGGTGTTGGCGGGGTTGCGTGCGAGTATCGAAGTGAGTCGCGAAGTGCGACGGCCGCTAAGATTTCGTTTATTTGCTTGGGTCGGCGGCCATGACATGGCCGCCCGCTATGGTGTGGAGCGCCCTTCCACCACCCAACCCCCACTGCCTTTTTGCGCCCTTGCCTTGAGCAGCACTCGATCCCATCTTGGAACATTGCCATTGCGCCCTCATGCGTCCCACCGGCTACTCAATTCTGCCCAATCTTGATCTCGCCAAAGATCAGGCTCCCATATACTCGATACGGAAACCCGCCTGAGACGCCGCCAGTAACTTAGTGAGCCAACTGCACCGCACGCCAGCCAAACTCCAAACTTCCACCTCATACTTGCTCTGTTCAAATGGCGAAGAAAAAGAAGCCAGCAGGTAATCCCGCCCGTGGCTTCGCGACAACGTCAGTCGCGAGCAAGCCGAAGCCGGAAAAGGCAGCCGCAGACGTCCCAGTCAAGCAAGTTGCACAGACGCCGTTGAAAGAAGGTACAGCCGCATCCGAGCTCGCGCCCCAGCCATCCGAGAAGACGATAGCGCCGAAGGAAGAAGTCGCGCCAACTCCGGAAGAGCTCGAGGCCCAGCTGGAGCGTGATGAGCTCCAGTTGCTTGCAGAGAAGCATGCCGCAAAGGTCAGGCGCGAGGTTACTCGCCATGTCTCCAAATTCCAGACAGATCGTAGACTACTTCGTAGCCAGTCGCACTCCATGACCGTCCACGACTGGCTACCCAATGAAATTCTTGATAGTATCATTCTCCTGGCCCAGGCAGAATCAAACGATTCAAATAGGAGGCAGGGTCATCAGTCCCTACTCAAGACCCTAACCGAAGAAGATGCCATGTCAAAACTATGGACTCTTGACCTTTCCCTGCGTGAACTGGGCTTCTCGCGGGACCAAATACAGCCCGTCTTGCGATGGCTCTGCGCAAACGCCGCCAGTATCGACGCATCTTCAGGTGTATGGGGCCTACAAGACGCTCTCGAATGGCTGGCACTGGACCAATGTGAAGACCACACGTTTTCCTATGAGGAGTCGCGTCCAAAGCGCTCCACTGTCGATACCCCTGACACATCCCCATCTCGTGAGTCTATCTACAAGAATGCCTTACTTCATTCCCCCCTTAGATAGGTGTGACCTGTTACACACCCCCGGTTCTCGATATTTCCCACATTACTTTATTATGCAACTGCTTACCATACATAGCAACACCACCGCTTGCGCCTCCTGCCAATGGAACGGCTGCATCGAACCCCTTAATTTTGCCAGCAAGTAATCTTCCGACACCTGCTGAACTCGAGCAAGATGATACACATGTCAGCGATCTCGATAGCGACCTAGAGCTTGACGAGCTCATCCCAGCATACCTCAAAATCAAAGGCAAGCTGTTCGAAATTGATCCACAGCTCGTCGATACGACTACTCGGAAGCCAGCCAAAGGAGCCAAGTCTAAGAAGTCCGCCCCAGGAACCGTTCAAACTCCAGCTGTCCGAAAACTTCTCTCTCAGTTGCAACAGCTCACGTCCGACGCGCTCTTCGACGAATATCAAGCCGAAGCTCAGTGGCCCGCTAAGCGCAACCAAATCGCCCAATCTCAAGCCGAGAAAAGGCAGCGGATCGAAAACCAGCCTAGCATTGCCCAAGTACAGCAGAAAGAGGTCGTTGTTGACCCTCCCATGGTAGACGTCGCAAAGGCGCCACTTCCCGCAGCCCCACAGGGTGTGGAGGAAGTTGAAGAAGATGTAGATCTGCTTGGAGGCATGTTCTCTGCAGTCCCTGATGCAGGACCAGCACCGGAGACTTCAAATGACGGCGCGTCTACCGACAACGTAACCCTTCGTGATTTTGGAAAATCACCAGGAATGTCTCCACGCAAAGTGTTCGAAGAGGCGGTGCGGTCAAGGTAGGCATGCCACTAAATAATTTTCCAAACATTGTCTGACACTCTCAGGGATCCGGGTGCGCGCGTAACGTACAAAATGATTTCTCCTACCACCTACACCTGCCGACATTCTGTGACAATTGCTTGGTCCAAAGACGACGACATCGAATACGACGTTGAGATTACTGGGGTTACCAGTAGCCGATATAAGAAGCAAACCACATTCGCAGCAACTGATGTCGCGGCCGTGTCAGTTGAGCAAAGTGAGAGTTACATTTCCGTCGCTGCTCTTTTCTCAATTTCGGCTACCTCCCCAAAAGAAGAAAAGGTATATTTACGACTGCCATCCAACTGGAGAGACCTCTATAGGGAGTTCCTGGAACGCCGCAAGACACGTTTGGATGCTATGGATCGTGACGCCATCCGGCACTACCGTTCCATCATCGAGGAGCAAATCGAGAATGAAGAATCAGACGGAGTTGTACTCACCAACCGTTTCAAAATGCGTAATCAGGCCGCGACAAGCTCTCCTGCTTCGAACTCTGGCTATAACACACCGGTGCGACAGCATGACGGTCTGCGAGAGCTATGGGCTATGAAAGCGTCGGCTCCATCATACCAACATATGCTCGTCGGAAGAATGAACCTCCCTGTCTTCGGCTTCAAGGAATCAATTCTCTCGACCGTGGACAAAAATCAAGTCACCATCATCTGTGGAGAGACTGGCTGCGGGAAAAGTACCCAAATTCCAGCTTTCCTTCTTGAGCACGAGCTTTCACAAGGAAAGGCATGCAAAGTCTATTGTACTGAGCCAAGACGCATATCCGCCATTTCGCTTGCACAACGTGTCAGTCAGGAGCTTGGTGAGGGTCCAAAGGACCTCGGCACCATGCGCTCGCTTGTTGGTTACGCGATCCGACTGGAGTCCAAGACGTCCTCGCAGACACGTCTAGTGTACGCGACAGTGGGTGTCGTACTTCGCATGCTCGAATCATCTGGAGGTTTGCAAGAGGTCACGCATTTAGTCATTGATGAAGTGCACGAAAGGTCTATTGACACTGATTTCCTCCTGGTCATACTTCGGTCGCTAATGGAACGCCGGCCTGAACTCAAGGTCATACTGATGAGCGCGACTGTGGATGCTGCACGGTTCTCGCGGTATCTCAATGACGCGCCAATCTTGACAGTGCCGGGTCGTACCTTCCCGGTACAAACTCGCTATCTGGAAGATGCGATCGAGCTAACTCACTATACCGGGACGTCTGGTCCGGCTAGGAATTCAACCGCTAGCGAAAATGATGATGATGATGAAATTGCGAGTGATCAGTCCGGCATCCCGAGCAAGCTTCCAGGTTACAGCCCTACGACACGGAATACGCTTTCCAATTACGATGAGTACGCCATCGACTACGACTTGATCACTCGCTTGATCGAGACCGTGGCGTATGATCAACAGTTGAGTCGTTTCAGCAGTGCCGTCTTGGTTTTCCTTCCTGGCATTGCGGAGATCCGCCAACTGAACGACATTTTGGCTGGCCATCCTGCTTTCAACACCAACTGGTATATCTATCCGCTGCATTCTACAATTTCAAGTGAGGATCAGCAGGCCGCCTTCCTTGTTCCGCCTCCAGGTGTGCGCAAGATCGTACTTGCCACAAATATTGCTGAGACTGGAGTGACGATTCCGGATATCACCTGTGTTATTGACATCGGAAAGCACAAGGAGATGAGGTTCGACGAGCGGAGACAGTTATCGCGCCTGACTCAGTCATTCATATCGAGAGCTAATGCCAAACAGCGACGAGGGCGTGCCGGTCGTGTTCAAGAAGGTTTATGCTTTCATTTGTTCACAAAGTACCGCCACGATAATCTCATGGCTGAGCAGCAGACTCCGGAGATGCTTCGACTTTCCCTGCAAGATTTGGTCATGCGAGTCAAGATTTGTAAACTTGGCGACATCGAAGCTACCCTTGCTCAAGCGCTCGATCCACCGTCATCAAGAAACATCCGTCGTGCTATCGATGCTCTAGTAGAGGTGGATGCACTGACTCCGAGCGAAGAACTCACCCCTCTTGGTCGTCAGATTGCAAAACTGCCACTAGATGCACATCTAGGTAAACTCGTGTTGCTTTCAACTACATTTTCCTGCGTGGACGTCGCCATTACCATAGCTGCAATTCTTTCCTCCAAGTCCCCATTCTTAACGCCTTTTGGGGCAAAACAGCGGGCCGATATCGCTCGACTTGCTTTCAAGAAGGGGGATTCTGATCTCTTAACGACCTATAATGCTTACAAGGCATGGAGAGCAGTTTGCAGTACCCCAGGGCGCTCCGAAATGCAATTCTGTCACAAAAACTTCCTAAGCCCGCAGAATCTGGGTAACATCGAGGATCTCAAAGCGCAGCTACTCTCATCACTTGTTGAAGCGGGTTTCTTACAGCTCACGCCGGACGAGCGCCGCGTCATGAGCCGCTACCGAAGTGCGTCGCGGCATCGCGTCTTTGTCGAGGTGCCCGCACAGTATGACATGCACTCCGACAACGATGTCCTAGTCAATTCGGTCATTGCAACAGCATTTTACCCGAAGATCTTGACCCGAGAGGGCAAGGGTTGGCGAAACATCTCGAACAATCAGACGGTCAGCTTAGCACCAACATCAGTCAACAAAGGCTCCTCAACAGCCAACTTTCTGTCATATTACCACATTATGCAGTCGAGCAACAAATTCTATAACGCACACTCAACATCCATTGCGCACCCTCTTCCAATGGTGCTTATGGTAGCTGCGGATATCGAGTTCAAGTTACACGCGGGTGTCATCAGTCTACCCGGCAATGTCCTTCGATTTGCTGTCCGAGATTGGAGGTCCGCTGTCGCATTGAAGGTTTTGAGACGTCGTGTCAAGGAAATTCTGGCAAACAGTTGGAAGAACCCGGCACGACAACTTAGCGATCGCGAGAAGGAGTGGTTGGGCTTGTTTTCCAAGATGTTTGAGGACAGGTTTGAAAAGGACGAGAGGATTCGGGAAAGAGCTGGCGGAAAGGCGAAGTAATTAGTAACTTCTATCTTTGGACGGCTCTAGACTACACAAGGCTTCTCTAGACGAAATCGAATTTCGCTGTGTCCGCGAATTACAACACGGAAAGGTAGAAAGATAAAGGACATATGAAATTTAGCAACAAAGTAGTTTTCATGGCCGGCACAGGTTGATAGGTCGATTCTTTTCCCGGGTCACATTCATTGGGTATTTACATCACTTACAGCAGAGCTACAGCCGCTTTGGGGAGTCACTTGGATGCTTGGGTGGCGTGATCTTCCCCCTAAAGAAGAGATGGAGTTTGAAATCGCGACATTTAATGCCTGGACGGAAAAGAGATACCTCGAGCAGGGCAAGAATCACTGGTACTTTATATACGACTATATTCTGGTATGTCATTTTGTTCTAGGTCACCCAAATGCAATCAAGATATGACGTCATGACGAACTGGGAGATTTCTATGCTGGTCACATTGGTAACAGTACGTCGAGACGCTTATGGAATATTTGGGACTCAACCCCTTTCGTAAGAACAGCGTCTTCGAAGAGGGATCTTGTGCGGTATAAGCCAAGCGATTACCGT